GCCTCGATACACCTGTGTGACGCTATGCCACACCGGTTTGTGACACTATGACACATCGGTGTGACACCATGACACACTTGCATCATGACACTGTTACACACCTGTATTGTACCGCACTGCTCACCTGTGACCGTGAACTTGAGGGTGTAGCGCGGCAGCGGCTGTCCGGCGAACGTAGACGTAGCGCTGTCGTTGACACATACCTGCAGAGTGAGCGTGTGCGCGCCAATCTGTCGCAGGTTCTCTGCAACACACAGACGATATCAGTCGGTCAGTCGAGCGGTCAGTCAATCAATCGATTCATTAGTGAGTCGGTCAGTTGAACGATAACTCAGTCATTCAGTCAGTCAATCGATTCATCAGTGAGTCGGTCAGTTAAACGATAACTCAGTCATTCAGTCAGTCAATCGATTCATCAGTGAGTCGGTCAGTTAAACGATAACTCAGTCATTCAGTCTATCGATAGGTCACAGAGTTAGTTGATCAATAGATCAGTTGGTCAATTGCTTGGCCATTCAGTTGATCGATCAGTCAGTCAAGTCAATCAGTCATTTAGTCAGCTAGCAAACACTGCCGTAAGAGTCTACTCACAAAGGGTTATTTATAATGCCACAATTAAAAAAATCGGTGTTTGCCCTCACGCGACCCAGGCTGAAAAGTTTGGGTAGGTAGGTAGGCTTCTTTTTTTATATTTTTGAATGGGTCTTTTTCCAAATTCAGCATAGTGTCTACATGCTTGGGTGTGCTTGTGTGGAGATACCTTTTATGTTGAATGTTTGTTTTGGTTGGTACATATAATATATTGCCTACAGATCTATATAATGTACAGTGATTGTAAAAAAAAGAAAAGAAAAAGATCAATAACTTTTTTTAAGTCGGCCCCTTTTTGGCAGGTCGGTCGGGTGAGGGCAAACAAACAATATTTTTATTATGGCCCAATATGTTGCTATAACGACCGGTTCGCTCGCGTGAAACATGCGTGGGTTTGTTCTGTAGGGCCGGGACTTTCCATTCGACCCATGTGGCAGAGCGTTCACTTCGTTACCAGCAACTCAGACCATCAGAGACAAGCTGCTTACCCATTTTTCGGAACCAGTAGGGCCAAGTCGTGCCATGCTGGCCGACGTGGGAAGCGATGATCTCATCCCCACCAGGAGCTGCGAGAGAAAACACATCTTATTATGTTACATCTAATATTCTATTACATTTCACTCCTTACACATGTTACGGACATGAAACAGATATCCACACGCACGCACGCACGCACTCACGCACGCACGCACGCACGCACGCACGCACGCACGCACGCACGCACTCACGCATGCAGACACATAGCAATCAGCAATGTACTTACACACACTTATATGTATATTACATATATAAATGTGTGTATGTACATTGCTGTACATGTATGAATATATATCTGTATCTATTTGTCTGTAATATATAATAAAAGATAAATAAATATTAATGTGTGCGTGTATATATATTATATATTTACTTATGCTACTAAATATTTTCAACAAAAACACGTGATATTAAGAGAGGACTGGCTGTCATCTTGTTCGTCTCTCGTTGTGACGTCGTCGTTGGCAACGGAGGATTGGGGGCAGCACTTACCATGCCAGACGACCTTCAGTTCGACCAGCAGCTTCCTCTTGCCTCCCTGCCCCGGCAACTTGTTGATTGCCTCCCGCTTCTGATTGAGGATTTCCACCTTTATATCGCCTGCAAGGCACGAGCAGAGACATCTGTTGAGCAATTCATTAACTAATCCGTGCACTCCCTAGGCGGAACATTTTATGAGCTGAAAACGTCAGAAAAACATTCGAAAGGAGGAAAATTCATGAGATGCTCACAAACAGGGGCTGACACACATCGCATGTAAACGAGATGTCTGATATTGTAACCAAGTTAACTCGCACGACTTTGCGAACCGAAACGAACCTAGTGAGATCAGCGCGGCGTGGCGAAGAGCGCCGTCTGCCAAATAGCAAATGACGACTGTGGCGCCCTCTCTTATTATTATTATTATTTTATTTATTTATATTGCACCTTTTTACATAAAATGATCAAAATGCAGCACATCGATATGGCAAACGACTCACTGAACAATAAAACGAAATGATATAAATATGTACATGTGAGATATATCGCTACAACTACGAGATACAATGATATTCACTACTGTATTCGCTGTATATTTCGCAGTGGTTTAATTTTCGCGAATTTCGTGATCGCATCCCTGCCCGCGAAAATAACAACACGCATAAATAACAACACGCCGTTCTTCACTGATTCGGGAATTCACCGACCGCGCAATTAACCACTCGCGAAATTGTCCGTCAAGTCTGAATTCGCGAAATTATCTGTACACGAAAAATATGGCGTATACAGTATTACTTATTTACTCTCTTACCGACGACGCGGCCAGCAGGACGCCGCTCCCCGTGTTTGACCTCGTTGCCCTCTGGCCATGACACGACGACGACGCTCGGCATCCTAAAACACAAGAGCAGTCGACAATTATCGCGACGGCCATCGCCACAGTTGTAAGTTGACAAGAGAACGTGCGTCGACGTGCTTCGCAGCCGCACGCGAGTCGCCGGAGAGGCGTTATTAGAAAATGCGACGTGCAAAAATGCGCAGACTAAAACTGAAGGGGCGAATGATAAAAATAATCGTGACTGTAGAAGAAAGTTGAGACCGGGGTTTGGAATGTACACACGGAGGAATCGATGGATCTTCCTGGAGTGATTGACAGGTAGCTGTAGCCAATCATAGAAATTTGAATGGCGCCATGACACCCGCGACCATGCTGTAATCAAACTGTAGTCGTTAGTTTTAAAACATTAAAAAAAAATATTTCTAATGGTGATTGACCCATGAAACGTTTTATGTAGCGTAATTATAACCTAAATTAGCTGAAAATAACCCTAGAACCTAGAGTAAACTCTCCCTTTAAACAAAGAAACAATATCCAAGAGAAACATTGTAAACGTCACTTCGACATATCGGTTAATTGGTGAATTACAAACTCACAGTGCCATTTCTTCATCGATAGCTTTCTTGATCATCGCCTGGCTGGCTGAGCGGTCAATTTTGAACAACGGCACCGTCTTCGTCTCTCCATATATGCACTTGGGTTGCTACAACAAAGATAAAATACACTTAGGGCTAGAAAAAGATACGAAGCATAACGAATAAGGTGCACGTACAACAATTACAAAGGCAACAGGGTGAATTGTGATGATGGCAATATATACCTATATATATCTCCCTCCCTGCCACCTATCCACTGCCACCTCTCTACCTTCTGACTGACTGACTGCCACCTTCCTACATTTATACTCCCTCCCCCCCCACGTGTACTACCGCATTGTGCTATCCTCATGACCTCCTCCCCACCTTTCTTCTCCCGCCTCCCTTCGCCTCACACGAATTCATCTGCTGTATATCAACCTTCTCCCATTTCCTCCTTTCTCGTTCCTCTCTCCCCTTCTCCTCACACCAGAATACCTGCTGTATCTCCACCTCTCCTCCGGTGACGAACTCCTCCTCCTCCCGCTCGCCGTAGAGAAAGAAACGCGTGATCTTGCCGTACATCGGAGGAACCGTCTTCTTCGTCTTGATCTGAGCGCCGCGCCGGACAACGCAAACGGACGAGTCAGTGACATCACGAACCGAAATGTACGGACAAAACACGGGACTAATCACGGAGAAATGGTGGAAAACGCACGGAGAGCTAATTACTGTCTTCTACTAATTAGCTGCTTCAAAAGCTCCCGTGCTGGCGTGCGCGGCGCCACGCTGGCTGGGAAATGTGCGGACCATGTACGTAATAAACACGGACTCGCCGAGATTACAGTATTAATTGGCAGTTCGTATATAGTCCATGGTTAGTACATAGGACTAGTATATTGGTAGTCCTATATATTGCTATATAGTATATTTTGCTATGGACAGGAATATTCCGTAGCTCTCCGTGCATTTTGCACTATATCCGCGATTAGTGCCGTGGTTTGTGCGTATATTTCGGTTCATAGTGTGAGCGAGCGTGCGTGTGACCGACCCCCGACATTACCCTGCATTGATGTTCCGCCACTGCATTATTAATATATTGTTCCAACGTTCTTAAACCGTTGTTCTGCCCCCTCCCCTGCACCGTTGTTCTGAGCAGGCACTGTTGATCCACCCCCACACTGTTGTTCTAACCTCCTGTACTGTCGTTCACGTTACCACGGTATAATTGTTCCACACTCATACCGTTGTTGTGCCTCGCACCATCGCTCTGTCATCACACCATTGTTACAGCCCGCACACCGTTGTTCTACCTCCGCACCACCATTCTCAAGATAACAACTGGATAACGCACTGTCCTATCACCACGACGCATCACGTGCGGCGGCGCGGCCGCGATATCGCATCTATCGCTCGTCAAACCCCGCGCTACATGCACGCGGTTCGCGATTCTCGAAACGCGACACAACAGCGAATTCTCTGCGTCTGCTAACGTCTCTCCTCGTTTGTTTCCTGACATTTCATGGTGCGAAATTAAGTCCGGAGTCAAATACTGCCGGACTCCCTGATTTGACATATGCAAGAGTCCGTGTGACTCCATGAAAATTCTGCCATACTAACTAGTTCGTTCCAGAGCACGGCCTCGCGGAATTACCGTATATTTTCAGCAAATGTCCCAAGAAAATTTCGCAGACGTGCAACCGCATGAATCTTCAAAATAAGCACATGCGTTATTGTTAATCTTTCATTTTGAACTTCAGACTGCAGACTACCTCATTTTGCCACGGACTCCCTCGTTTTGAGGGCATTTGTTTCCAGACATTTGTTTCGTGACGCACACACTAACATCTCTCGTCATTTGTTTCGTGACGCACACACTAACATCTCTCGTCATTTGTTTCGTGACGCACACACTAACGTCTCTCGTCATTGGTGTCCCGCCACTCACCAACGTTCCCGCTCCGTACGTCCTGCGCTCCCACTCGATCTGCGCGTACGTCGACCACGGCCCCTGCCGGTTCCGCGGAAGCTCGGTGCGACTGCAGAGCCCCCTGTAGTCGCTGAAGTGAACCTGCTTGTCGCAGCGCTCGTGGCACTCCTTCAGCCAGTCTGCAAACTGCTTTGCGATGTTGCCCCGCCGCTCCTGCCATGCAAAAACAAGCGATGAGAATCAAGATGAGGCGTGAAAAAGATTAACGTAAAGCCCTACCGGGCTAGGACGCTTATGATCGGCTGAAACGTGAGCATTGACACATCATGATATGCACAAGGCTATCCAATGCCAAAATATCATGTGCAGTAAACATAAATATGAACGAAAACGATTAATAACAATATTATGATAATGACATTTAGACTAGCAATAAGCTAACACAGTAAATCAAAGTGAAGGTGGGCTAACAATATATGCTAATAGCATATCTAACGTAAAAATAAAGCTAAAGGTATTCGACGGTGTGCGGAAGAATGCCTGTTGAATCTACCTGTCCGTTTATAACCCTAGAGAACATGGTCTGTTTGTCCTTGAGCCTGACCTCCAGGTCAATGAAGGTCAACTTGTTCGTCGACACTTGAAACTTGTCGTTCGTCCATAGCACTCCCGAGACCCTGCAGTAAATAACAGACGAGAAATAATTAACAAGAAAAGAAATCATGCCAGTGAGAGAGAGAGGGAGGGAGGAAGAG